TTAACCGCATTTTTTTAAACTGAGAATAAAAGGTGGAGTAATTAGCCGAATGCCACATCCTCATTCGTGAAGAAATTCACGAAATTCATTCTTGATATACAGCACAACTCATCAGAAAAATAAATGGGAAGTAATATAGAGGAAAGAAAATATTTTTTATTTTTTATTTTCACACTGAGTCGATAATAACATTTAGATGTGTGAATAAGGTATGCAAGTATCTATTACTCTTTAATAAGATAAAAAGGAAATTTCAAACCACTTGAATTGAAAGGCATAAGCTCCCTCTTTAAGATGAATAATGTTTTCAGGCCTGGTTTATTATTTCTATCCCCTTTTTTTCTATTTTTCTTTTCATTCGGTCATTTGTGTTTTCTTGCTGATCTCCCTCGCAAACTTAACTGCTTTTCTGGCTTGTCTAGTCGATCGTTAGCAAATTTTTTATCGTGGATTATGAAAAGACATGCATATCTTTCTTTTTTTTGGATACAAAAGACATGCATATCTAGCTAACATAGAAGCCATTAATCATGTATTGATCTTGTAATTTTTGCGAACCGCTTTTGCAAAGCAAGATATAATGACAAAGAAGATTAATGCCGCGTGAAATAAAAAAAAAGCCAGAAAACATGGATCACGCGCAAAGTAGAAGCTGCCAAAAATCTGAGAAGCTATTTTGGCCCTAGAACAGGTATTTAACGTAAGTAATGTTGCATACAAAGATAAAATTGAAGCTTATCTATGCATAAATATCAGCGTAAAATGTTACGCAACTAAAGTTTAGGAGAGCGGAAATCAAAATGCCGATCTCTTGGGTGAGAACTCTTAATCTTTAGCACCATAACGAGTTCTCAAAATTCCCAACATGAAAACTGTTTGGTGATTAGATTACGTCTATTTTTCTTTAATTACAGGGTAAAATATCTCAATGTAACGGTACTCAAAGAGAAAATAATATCAATATTCTATACTAGGAGTCACCGCGAATTAGGGGGATGATGGCAAGGGTACAGTGGCTCTGTAAGTATTTTGGTGTAGCAACATTTCATAAAATAGTATATTTAAGGCGCCTCTTCAACGACTAAGGATAAAGTATTTATTGGTGAATTTTTTTTCACAATCATGAAAAAAAGAAAGTAGTAACCATTTCTACCCTACTGGCTATTGTTATGTAAGTTGAAATTCAAAGAAGATCTATGTTAATCCTTCAAAAGAATTAACATAGGTCTATTTTGAATTTTAAAAGGATCATGAATAGATTTTTTTCTAAGCAATTAAATTATGTCTCGTAATATTTGTTGAGTATCCAAAAAATTTAAAGAGATCACTTATTTATATTCTTTTATTTTTTTGATACATTTAAAAAAATATAAATTTTTTTGGGGCAGTGATCCCCCACCTCTAAATGTGCAAACAAAAATAAAAATTTGTTGGGTCCGTCACTGCTTATGGGTGCAAGACAAGCACACTCACGTGAGGCGTGAAGTGTGGTGGCATAAAAGACCGAGATCCTGTATGGGTCTAAAAATCTTACTTTAGGGACATATGAGAGTGATCTCTTAAATGAGCCTTAATTATTCGCCCATTGGACTAAGTTGGTGAACAATTCAAAATAATATCCTTATATATAGGATTAACTCTTAATTACTGATCTACTTGCATCTAACAACTTTATTTTAAACTACCTATGCTAGAGATAAAACATGTAACACTCGGTCGCTTCAAAAATCAATGACTGTCGCCACAAACTATTATAAGATTTGTCGTCGCTCTTTGTCGGTGCCTCTTTACACCGGCAATCACTCTCCGCCCTCGTCAGCCACTGGGAAGTTACATACCCACCAGCTTCCGCCTGGTTCGTTCTCGAACCACACCGTACTGGGAGAGAGACCCTGCTCTGATACCACTTGTAACGCCCGGCCGCTTCAAGAATCAATGATTGTCCCCACAAACTAACACGAGACTTTTCGGTGTGTTTTGTCCTCACTCACACTTTCTGGAAAAATTTCCTAGGAGGTCACCTATCCCGTAATTGCTTAAGCATGCTTAACTATGGAGTTCTTCCGTTCTTGGTTACAGAAAAGTAGATGCACTTTGTTAATATAGGTAGTTTGTATTAAATCCTTTTCATCCTCAACTGTACAATTTCATACATACACAGTCTCTGGAATCCCTCTTTTTCAGGTATTGATTCGATTTATTCATATACCCCTCCACTGGAAGCCTGCCAAGAGCTGCTCCTTATTGTTGTCTCTTTGCACCGGCAATCACTCCCCTCTCTTATCCGCCACCGGGATGTTACAAAACTTAGACCCTCCAACAGTTATTACCAGACCAACTCTGTTTGTTGTTTATAATATTTTGAATTTTATATTTATTATATATTATTATATCTCAATTGAGTTAAATATGCTTATGAATAAATTTTTTGTAGAATTGTTTTTCATAATTTAACAAAGGGTAATAGTTTTCTTATGTTGTAGAAGATATGTATTATCTCCTACACACTCATTGGTGCAAGTGGGGTCCATTTTTAGGGGAAGAGAGAGAAAAAGTAAAGTGGGACCCATTTTGAGTTTGTGTGTGTAGGAAATAGATTATATTTTATGCAACATAAGAGTAATAAATCCCTTTAACAAAAGATACCTTTATAAAAATAATTATTGAGTTAAGAAATTAAATCAAAATGGGGAGAGAGTATTGTAAGTAGCTACGTTCTACAATAGGATGCAAATAGTTACGTAGACAGAAAACTGAGTGGCGTAAAATGGTTCTTCATTCGTGGCTAGGTGAAGCGTGGAGGGTGCTGGACATTGCCAGTAGCTTCTACGCTACAATGGTAACATCATAGTCATGTATGTGTGCATCCAATTGACATACGTACTTCTCTTGATCGTTTTCTGGTGCTGTAATTGTAGAGGTTTCAAGAAAAACCCATAAAATTACTTATAAGTGTTATATACACAATTTATGAAATACATTGATGTATAAAGTATACTAAAGAAAAAAAAAGAAAAAAAACTGTTCGAATTGGGGAGCAACAGTGTGAACTTAACCTGATGGAGCTACTTTCGCTACTTCTTTAATAATTATTATGGAATAGGGACGAGGGACATAAAACCTATGTTGGTAGAGACTAGAGAAAGAGGGAATTAATTCAGAGAGGAAGAGACATTCGGACTGTCCCACTAACTTTATCAGCTTTATTTACTTAGCTGCAGACGCGCTTTTTTCTATGGTGAATTATCTCAGATTAGATGCCAGAACAGGGACTGAATCTTAAAGTGAGAAAAAAAAAAAGACATCATCAATGTTCAGTTCAACAAAGGGACAGAGAAGTAGATCAAATAAATCGAAAACTAAAAATCGAAAAAAAATTCACAAATTTTAATTAGATTGGATCGATTTTTGGATTTATTGATGAAAACTGATCTAATATATTAATTTTTCTCTACCTACTTGATTCTTTCCCTAATTATAACTCAAAAATTTATAAACTCAAGATCCATTAATCCATTAACTAAACTCAAGAAAAAATCTAGTCACATCTCATTAATAAAATTTTCATTTGTGTAGAGCTTCATATCTAATTGCAAAAAAAAAAAACTATAATAGTGTTTACTGATGCTTTTGTATTTAAAAAAAATAAAATTTACAAAGCCAATATATAAAAAAGATGTTATTTGCACAATAACTATGAAACAAATTTTAGAATTCTCAAAAAATCAAAAACCGATTCAATACAAATCGAAAAAAATTGGATTGGATTGGATCGGATTTGAAAAAAAATCCAAACCGAAGGGATTGGATCGAATAATTTTTATTTTCAAAACTAATCACCGATACAATCCAGATCGCAAACACTCCGACTTCTCAATTATGGAAAAATAGTACAACGGCTTAAAAAATATATATTATATTTTAAAGCCAATTACCAATCAACAGATAAAGCAAAGAAACGAATCCATGATGTTATTGTTTTGTCAAAAATTACTTTTTTGAATTAAAGAATATATAATAATAATTATTCTTTTTTTATTGAAATTATCTCCCGATAATCTCATAAATTTTTTGTAAACTAATTTAGAATTTGAAATGGATTCAGAATTAAGACTTTGAAGTCTTCTAAGAATTAATATTAAAGAAGATCTACCATATAATTTCACCCTCCCTCGTTAAATGACTATAGTAATGGTTTTCGAGGGAAAAGAAAAAGACAAACAAGGTGAGAATACAGCATGAGTGGACTCATATTCTTAGATAGTAAGAAGAAAAGTAAAAGAGAGAGAGAAGGGTGATTCCGTGCCCCATAAACCTATCTATCCTCTTCCTCCAACCATCGTCGTCAGTATTGGTAGGTGACTTGTTGGCTATTCCTCGATTTGATCGTTCCTCCCTCCTTATCTCGCCCAAGAAAAAAAATTTGCGCCCTTTCTTTCTCTCTCCTAATTTTCTTTGCCAGTAATGGCAGTGCAATAAAAGAGGTGGAGAGTTTTCATTGGGAAGGTAACAAAAAAAAAAAAAAAAAAGCCTTTGTCTGCATCAGTGGCTTAAGCCCTATTTACAGGAACCAACCCACTATCCTCTCTTCTACAACTCGAGTTTATCGCGCTCTTTCTATGCCCGGCGTGCGCTTGGCTGATTCTTCCCCTTTCTCTCTCACTCCTCATTCTCACTAAGTGCATATAGAGAGAGAGAGAGAGTTAATTAATGCTCAAATGGGTTCAAAAAAATATTAACATCCATTTTCCCAAGGTAATTTGTGCAGGCTTTGTCAGGCTAACCATAAGGGGGAAAAACCTCTCTTCGACTCGTTGTAACTGACCACAACTATAGCCACCACTTTTTTAGATTTTCTGTAAAAAGCCTGAAACTTAAAAAGCATAAAATCCGGGAGAGCCCTGAAGACACAACCATCTTCTGAGCTAAAAAATAGAGACAGAGATAAGAGAAGGGTACTTAGTCTTCTTCATGAATTAAGCCTAGAGGGGAGTGGTGAAGAGGCAATGGAGGGTAATTCTAATGGCACTTCAAGTGTGATGGCTTTTGGAGAGAACAGTAATGGGATTTGTCCAATGATGATGATGATGCCTTTAATGACTTCTCATCATCCAATAAATCCTAATCACAATAATCCTAATGTAGATACGAACGGTCTTTTTCTTCCCATGCCTTGCACTACTAATAATCACCACCCTAACCGCGATAGTAGTGGCAGCTCCTCAATCATGCTCCACAATAACCACAACACCAACAACACTGAGTTAGGGTATTTCATGCAGATCGACCCCAACAACAACAACAACAACAACACCAACGGTGGAAGCTCATCTTCTTCTTCCACTGTCAAGACCAAGATCATGGCCCATCCTCACTATCACCGTCTCTTGACTGCTTACGTCAATTGTCAAAAGGTGAGGAAGAAAAATAAATCTCCATCTTGACTGAACTTTTGATATCCCATTATTTTTTAGACTACCATTGATTGAAAATGATACTTAATAAATTACTTTAACTTCTACACCCTCTTTCGTTGGCAAGTTCGGATCTAAGTTTGTGTGACATCAGTACCAAAAACTGTTAGTAATATATTATTATTATTATGAAAATCCTACTTGTGACAAATTATTATACAGTAAGAAACTGAGAAGTAAAAGAAAAAAAACCCTTCTAAGAAGGAATGATATAGTTCTTCCAAGCTTGCTTCATGATATAGACTTTCTCATAATTTTGTTCATGCACGTTGCAGGTTGGAGCTCCGCCTGAAGTGGTGGCAAGGTTAGAAGAAGCATGTGCATCTGCAGGGACAATGGCGGGTGAACCAGCTGGGAAAGCCTTCATCGGTGAGGATCCTGCGCTGGATCAGTTCATGGAGGCTTACTGTGAGATGCTGATCAAGTACGAGCAAGAGCTCTCGAAACCTTTCAAGGAAGCCATGCTCTTCCTTCAAAGGATCGAGTGCCAGTTCAAATCTCTTGCAATTTCTTCTTCGGACTTTGGTGATGACCTTTTTCATTTTGCTTTCTCTTCTCCTACTTTCGTTTTGATTTCATACTTATTCTATATTTATTACTTGGGTGTTTCATGTCAGATTAACTGCATATCCATGCATGTCTGTGTTTCAAGTATGTAGGTTCTGGTAAGATTGTAAAAGAATGCATGCGAGTGTTTGTCTACTTTTTCTTTTCAACTTTTTAATTATTTTTCGTAACTTTTAGTTTATTTTTTCATTCTGAATGAGTTTTATTTTGGTTGTATTTTATTTGTATAAGAAATCAAGTTTCAAATACTAGCATGCATGTGGGTACATCTTGCTCAAAACGTGTGTTTTTTCTGTCAAAATGTAGATATATGGCATGGTACCTATCTGCATCACTCTCATCTCGGTGTTAGTGCATTGAATAAACCTTCTGTAGGCATCCTATTAATTCTCCACTTCCTTCCTGCCCTGATGATATTGACATAATTTCTACTGTTTTTGGAAATACAAGTCTTTGCCAAGTAACTTATCTATGTATTTCCCCAGTTGATGTTTAATGCTGCACTCTCCGCTGTTGCTTGTTTTTGCATCTTAACTTCTACTTGAAGTGAATCCAACCATAGAGGAACTGGCAACTGGAATGTGAATTTAGGTTTCGTAAGAGTTTAGGGTTTCTTCAAACCAGTAATCAAGAGTTTTTAATTGCCAGGTAGTTGGTTATTTTGTCTGGTTGGAAATGTCAAATTCTAAAATGCAGACAAAGGAGTTGCTGTTAAGAGGCCCTTTGGGGCAGGTACAGCTGTTATTCAGGAAACAAACTATGAAAATGTATAAATTATATTAAATTTATGGATGAGCAAATTTTTCATTGTATTTTACCTAATCTAAAATGATTAGTTTTATCCGCCAAAAAAATTTAAATGAGTAGGTTTTCTTTTTCATTATCATTTTGATATATAATTCAATAACTGATTCTTTTAAATTAACTTTTTATGTTGATAAATTTGTTTTTTTTTACTTGGGTAGTCTTATTAGTTTCCTCAAGGTTGGTTGTGCAACCAATTCACTGTATAATTATAACTATCATTTTATAATTACAGAACTAGTGTATCTATGCGTGTTGTCATTATTCTGCATGTGTTTGTGTGTGCAGGTGCAGATGCATTTTGCCATGCTTACTACTTACTAGTATTGTGTCATTGATGTTATGATGCTATATATTTGCATGTTTACAACAGGAAATGGATGGTCACTCATATCTACATTTGCATGCATGGTGCTATTTGCTGATTGAAAGTAACAATTGAATGTGACAACTATCACTATGTGTCAAACTTTACTGCTAGACTGTTAATGACTGCAATAAAAAAAAGTAGGAAGTTTATCACATGGTGCCTTTGGATATAAACATAACCCAGCTTATTCAAGCTTCCAACTATGTATGAGCCAAAATAAGTAGTGTTCTTCCGTTAACAGATTTTCTTGTTCTTGGTCCTCCAGCTAGTTTAGTAGTTCAACAAAAGTTTGTGTTAATTATGGGAAAATGTTCCTCCGTATGTGTTGTACAATATGTACTTTGCCCTTTGAAATTTAACAAAATTATTTCTCAATAAAGGGAATTATTCTTTGATAGAGGGTACCTTGCTTAGCAATTCTTTTTTCTAGGTATTTTAGCAATTATGCATGTTTAATGGTATTAAATTATTATATATATGATTAATGTTTGTTTTTATTAATTTCTTTACGGTTTCAACTAATGTTGAAATTCTTCTATAACCAATGGTAATCCCTTTTTTTACTGCTTTGGTTCCTCTACGAACGTACTGATTTAATGATTGCATGAAGATTGTTATATGTGATTTCATTATAAACTGGGGGAGCTATCCCAAGGTCTAGATGGAGCCATTATATTTGTTAAGAATAGGGCTCTATATATGGACAACGGATTCATTTCGTATACTGCAATTGAATTGTCACTTTGGTTAAGCAATTGTTTCCTAATTATTGCAAGTCGTACTTCTAGTCATCTTTCATCTAATCATGCACCCCATTGCAATCAAAATTAGCCTAAACAGGAGTATGAGGTAATGGTTTGGTATATGTAAACATTTATCCTTGTTTCCATTCAATCTTCTCCGGGCACCATGCCCTCGGGGTACGGTCCGTTTGGGCTAGCCCCTCATTGTAACAGTACGTGCACTAAGCTTCGCAATCGGAGAAAGGACGAGACTAATCCCCCAACCGAAGATTTTTGGCTTATCCTCTAGCCCCCAAAGATTTTCCAAGAAACTGTTTGAGGCAGGGTTTGATCCCTGCACCGAGCAATCCCTTGGGAGCTCAGCTGCCAGCTGCCAAATGAGCTACCCTCGGGGGTTTTATCCTTGTTTAATTAAGTTGAAATAGTGGTGACACTAATTGTTTGCTGTGGAGAGTTATTACATCTACATTTATTCTAACTAATCATTCTTGATGGAGAAATGAAATGTGAAGATGAAACAGTAATTTGTCCAATGGCTTTTTCTGGCGTTCTTCTGCTCACTCTGGACTGGCATACTTACTTTTGCATTTGATATATAAATTAAGAGTCGCATATTTTTTTTTTTTTTGTATTTGGAATTTATTATTTTGTAGTCTACATTTTACTTTCCACATCACAAATTTACACCTTTAATTTCTGAGCAATCGAAAAATAACCCCCTTGTTCTTTGTTTTTAATTTGTGGTGTATATATATAATTGATGCGTGAAATATAGTGCTTAACATAATTGATTGATATGATAATCAGCTGGTAATGAAGATACTGATAGGAATGGATCATATGAAGAAGGTGTTGATCTTCAGAAAAACATAATAGATCCTCAGGCAGAGGACCAGGAATTGAAGGGTCAACTTTTACGCAAGTACAGTGGATACCTAGGCAGTTTGAAGCAGGAATTCATGAAGAAGAGAAAAAAAGGAAAGCTGCCTAAAGAAGCAAGGCAACAATTACTTGAATGGTGGAGCAGACATTACAAATGGCCTTACCCATCTGTATGTTGCATGATCCTTTTCCCATTATTTTTGCTACCTTGTTAAATTTATATGATGAGGTGATTAATTACCATTGGTAATATATTAATAACAAAGAACCAATTTTTTTTTATTTTTTTTTTTGTTTGACAATAAAATGTTGCAGCTTTTAAATTTGAAGGTTTTAATTATATGCACTTTTTTTAAAAAAAATGCATTACAGGAATCACAGAAGCTGGCTCTTGCAGAGTCAACAGGTCTGGATCAGAAGCAAATTAACAACTGGTTTATTAATCAAAGGAAACGGCACTGGAAGCCTTCAGAGGATATGCAATTTGTGGTGGTGGATCCCAGCCATCCACATTATTATATGAACAATGTTCTGGGAAATCCTTTTCCCATGGATTTCTCCCACACAATGATCTGACGATATATTACAGTGCTTGTGTTCTGAAAAATTATGTATTGTATCACAGTGCTAGGCATGCTTAAACACAGAAAAAGCATGTTACTTTAATTAGTTATAGCGATATTTACGCACAAAAAGTATCTTATAAACATCATTACAATTATTTACGTACTTTTTCTCTTTCTCTTCTCTACATCTATGGCTCATTTTAAATGGGAATCGAATACTTTGTAATTTAAAAAATAAAATAAAATAAAATTGAAGGGGAAGCAATTAATTTTTTTCTAGGTAGTAATCAATGAATTACTTTTTCGTAAAAGAAATTATTTTTTATGTTCGACCTGTTTATGTATTTTTTAATAAAAAATGCGTATAAAGCTGTGATAACTAGATAATTTTTAAGAAAATAAAAAAATCTAAATATTTTTCTTAAAAAATAAAAGTATATAATAATATTTTAAAAAAAATATTTATTCTTTTAAATGACACAATTTATATCATTTCACTCTTACAAAGAGATGAGATTTATATCTTTATATTTTTTTTGTTCACTTTTTTTTTCTTACTTAAAATGACACAATTTATATTTTTTAAAATAATACACATTTTTCCCTAATTTTTTTGAAAAGTTCGCAAAAAATGGACAAACATATTTTTGTAGAAAATTTATCTAAACGCTGTGACAAAATTCGCTTGGGAATCATCATAATGTTCTTTTTTTTTTTTGGTAAGCCAATCATCATACTATTCTAATTATTCTTTGAACTTACCAAAAAGCATTAAAAAGGTACAGCTATTGATCGTTATGGTTGTAAGATAAACTTCCAATAAAATTCGAATCACATTTTTAGACAAGGAATAATCTGTTTTTAAATTTTTTTTATAAATTTTTGCGAATTACATTTTATATTCTTGCAAATATATAGTGTAACCTAGTATACTTTATGTAGTATATAATATAATTTTGTAATAAAAAATTTATACATATAAATCTTACATTCTTAGATATGATTCCAACACATTTGATTGTGTAGATTTTAGTACAATTATTTTTTTTGAAAAAATAATGTTAAAAGGATTATTTTTTTCAAAAAATAGTATTAAAAAATAATTTACATTTGAAAATGCTATTTTAAAACTAAGTTTAGAAAATTTAGTTTTGTTCGAATATTAAAGTATAATAACTTTTCAAATGTAAATATCAGTACATTTTAAAAAAAAATTGCAGCATCACAAACTTCTAAGAAATACCTTCTTTTTATTTTATTTTATTTCAAACGTAGTTTTATATTAATAAACTTGTACAATTACACAAATTCAATAATATATTTTCCTTCTTTTTTTCAAGTTAGATATATATAAAATCATTACTTTATCTCACTCAATAGTTTAAGTTTTTGGGTTAAATTGATTTTTTACATGTATTAAAACTTCGTGTCTTGGATTCAATTCTTTTTGCCCTCAATTTCCTTTGTGAAATTTCTTAGCTCAGGTAGGTTGGGTCTGATGCATCTTTCATCTTTTAAGCCCAATGAGCTCTCGTGTGAGGGGGTGTACAAGAGAAATATAAAGTCATTAATATAATCTCACCCAACAGTTTAAGTTTTTGGGTTGAATTAATTCTTTTTTATTTCTTTTCGATAAATAAGTTGAATTGATTCTTTATATATACATGTGTGTAAATTAGTGTGTTTATAAGTTATTATTTAGGATTTAATGTTCAAAGAAATTTGATCATTGGCAAATGTTAATTAAAATGACAGATATTATTTGATCGATGAATCAATTAAAGAGGAAAAGAATTTTCTTTTACACGTGGAAGATTAATTAAAGAATAAGAATATTTCTTTACAAATAGAAGGAGCAAATGGGACCAAAGGATCTTGGATTCGTGTTTCTGTAAAAAAAATCTTCTTTGGGAGAGCTAATCCTATCATAACGTAGATGTTTTCGGCTCAAACAAAATTGTCTCTCACATATATGAAATTTATACAAAATAAAATAAACGGATGGGATAAAATGTGAAGAACACTTACGGCCATATGATACAAAATGAAAATACATGTTATTATAAAAAAAATATGAAGAAAATGATCTCACTTGTAAGAATAAGAATTGATACAGTGAAAAATAAATTATTTGATTTAAAATAATTAAATTCACTTAGTTTGATATAAAAATTAAGGATTTAATGTTTCTAAAGTGAATGTAGATAAGTTATCTACATTCGCTCCTAAAAAGACGTCGTTTTGGGTTGAAAAATTAAAAATTATAATGAAAAAACTATTATAATCCTATAATAAATTATAATTACAAAAATACCTTGATTTTCGCCTCAAAATGACGTCGTTTTGGACTCAATGTAGATAAGTTATCTACATTGACCGTAAAAAAAGCGAACCCAAAAATTAATTCTCATAATTAAAACTCGGTACAAAAAATAATATTTAAATCGATTTGCAACTCAATTTTCTTATTTGAAATACATTAATCAATAAGTGAACTGATTATATATTAATAATCTAAATTATTAAAGGAAAATTATCAATTCCAGTAATTAACCTTAAACATAATTAAATTTGAGTACACTATTATTTTTTAGAGGAAGATTATATTTATAACCTCTTACAATCATATCTTAACACCGTTGATTTCCGCCAATCAACGGTTATGATTTTCGCAAATTAAACTCATTACTTAATTATTAATTCACAATAAATGATAACTGTTGATTGACGGAAATCAATAGTGTTAAGATATGGTTGTAAGAGGTTGTAAAAAAAAATGTTATTAGTATAACCTTTCTCTAATTTTTTATACAACTAAGATAAAAAGATTCTTATATCAAACCAATTTATATTTTTTAACTTTCCATCAAATCAATTTTGAAAATATTTGATTCCAAACATATAGGATCATTTCCTGCTTGATGGGTAACCCCACTATAACCTTTTGCTTTGGGTCCCAATTTTTGTTCTTTGCAAATTTTATAATAACCTATTAATTATATCAAAAATCAAAAGTATGTAAAAGTTAATATAGTTAATACATTTTTTTGTAATATATTCTCTCTGGTACCATAATTAGTCTTAAACACAAAAAGCGTAGGATACACTGACAACGACTTATTTCTTTTTCTGAAATGGACAAATTCTCTCAAGTTCTAATTAAAATTATTTAGCAAATCTCTATTTTTCTCACTTCTCATAGTCGTTATTAATTTTTAATTGTATAATTGTTTGTCTCATTTTCTAGTAATTAAATCAATGGTTGTTGTATTTATTGGGCACTAGCATTTAATTCCCCCCCCCCCCCCTAATAAAACTAATTTATTTTTTAATTTTACAATATCAACTTCTTATTTTTTTTTTCTTATATCCCATAGTCGATACAACAATAATTCTCTTTAAAATATTTTAAATTCTTATAAAAGGTCAACGCGCGAAGTCCCTTAATATATTAAATGAAATGTAGGGTTAAAAATAGATTAGACTAGGTTTTGCCTTGATTTGTTTTACAATGTATTGGCTTGAGCTTAACCTTTTAGTTGTAAAATGTATTTTTTTTAAAAGAAAAAAAAATATTAACTTGGCCTTTTTGTGAAAATATAAAAGTTTGGCCAGATTCAAAAATCTATTTAAAGGTTTTAATTTTATGAAGGTTTCAAATAGGGGTGTAAATGAGCTGGGCTGGGCTGGGCTTTGGCCATCCTGGCCCAAGCCTACGTCAAAAATATTTTGGCCTATCTGGCCTACTAAAGGCTTTATTTGTAGGCCAAGCCCGGCCCATTTTCGAAAATAAGAAAGCCTGACATGGCCTACAGGCCTTGTAGGCCTCCCACTATATATACTAAGCAAAAAAAATAATTGTATATAGCAAAGATAGTTCCATTCATGCATGCACTAGTACTTCTCATAAGAAAAAATGACAAACAAGAAAGAGTCAATATAATACCTCAGCTCTAGAATGTATATCATAGAGGAATAGAGTCAAAGAAATGGGAAAAATAAGAAAAATACAATTATTGGATGTTGAAATAAAGTCTACAAGAGAATGTCATTCTTCTAAAATTATTTAAACCACCATCAAGACAAGGGAAAGAAGAGTATTATTGAAAGATCTTCATCAGTAACATCATAATCCAGCAAGGTACCCATTGCTCCATGGTATTAAGCTGCAACAACATGTAAAATTTGGAGACATTAGACAAGTTTTCCTTTCATAAAATAAAATAGTACAAAAAGTAAGAGATATTGATATTTGGTACTTTGTATCTTTGTCACATAAAATAAATATTATTTTATTATTTTATTTTAATAAATTAAATAGGCCAGCCTACAAGGCTGTAGGCCGGGCTTGACAGAATTGGCCTATGGCCTATTTATTAAAAAAACTTTTTTATAAGCCTAAGCCTACTCTACTTTTCTGAAAGGCCGGGCCTAGGCTGGGCTCAATGTAGGCCGGGCCGTAGGCTGGGCTGGGCCAGCCTGGCCCATTTACACCCCTAGTTTCAAATAAGCTAAGAAACTACTTAAAGGTTTAAGTTTTTACTAATTAAATTGGCAAATTTTTTAATACAATTGCTATATTTTGTATATTTAAAGTTACTATGTTATATTAACCTATTATTAATAAATTATATAAATATTGTAAATTCTTAATTGTATATCCAAATGATAAATACATAACAATAATAAATTAATTTATAGGATTCAGATAGGGTGGGTGTCCCATTTTCACTCCTAGTGAAATGAGTATGTCAGCAATTGAAAAATATTTATTAAAAGAAATTTATTATAAAAATTAATTAAAATCCTTAAAAAAGAAAATATAATGTTATAATTAACAAATGAAAAATAAGTCATTTGATACTTATGTTGTAGAGCAACAAATGTCTTTGAGACCCAGTAGCCTTGCGGGTTTTACTCATCTTTTAGTTCTCAATTCTCATCTTTTTTTCTTGGTTTCCTAAAATTTCCCTCGTTCTCCACTTATTTTACACATTTTTGCTTTTCTCATTTTCTTATACCTCTGCTTGTTTAAAAAAAAGAAGAAGAGAAACGGTGTACTGAGAAGTAAGAGTGTAAATGAGTCAGTCGGTCTAATAGGAGTTTACGGCTCGGCCTACATCAAATCAGACTTAGCGGCATATTACTTATAGTAAAATAGAACAGACTCAGACTAAAAAAAAAGTTTATTTAAAAAATAGACCATAAGCTTTCTTTTACATGCTGAGTGATGTGCCTCTGGCATATGTGGTTTTCCAAGTTAAAAATGATAAGTATTAAGTCATAAAAGAGCAGTTTATATACATATTTGTTTATTATGTTGACTTTTCTATTTCAATGATATTTCTCACCTAATTGTTATGTTTATATAGGGAGAAAGAAGGAGAATACAAAATTTTAAAAGATTGTTGGCGCGAATCCGTGCGAGTGGTGGTGCTGAGCTGCACCAGTCCCTCTTGGGCCATTTTTCAGAGTAGTGGCGCGATACTGCGCCAGTTTGCTAGGCCATTTTCCAGAACTTTGGTGCGATCTTGTGCCATAGTGGCGCGATCCCGCGTGAGTTTGCGGGAAAAACATGACCGGTGTTTTTTAGGGTAATTTTGGAAGAAGCGCGAAGAGTAATATAAAAAGGATTCTGAAAAGACAGAAAGGGGGATCAATTATCGGAGAACCGTGCTTCAGAGAAAGAGTTCTTGCGAGGAAATCTTGTTCATCCTTTCTTCTTCCATCTTCTATTTACAGTTTATGTTGAATTTTTGTATGTTAGCTATGACAATGGTTGGCTAGTACTCTTTATTGTAGTTAGGGTCACAAACCCTATGTGAACCCTTGTTACAACGGATTGATTTATAATTACTCTTTTATATATTTATATTTATCTCTACTCTGTGCGTAATTTCTATCTTCTTTGTTAGAATTGATCAATCTAATAGTTGATGATAGTTTGAGGGTAAGAACCATAGATAGGAATATTGAGGTTTTTGATCTTGAAAGGGAGTAGGATAACAATTTATATGCGTGCTAGGAATAGACATATATATTATTGCAGATGTTTAATTTACCGTGCTCTTTGCTTAATTCCATGAGAAACCTTGCAAGGAATTGAAGGTTAGCTATTTAATATTTTTAGATGATAAATTATCTGAATATGTATTTAGATGAGTATTGTAAGTCAATCCAGAGTAAAAAGCGGGATCATATGGTGAGTGCACTCTAGCTACAATGCTTTCTTATATTTTTTTAAAATCCATCTCTGTTTTATTTTTCAGAATAAAAAGCTAAAAATACGTCTTTACCTTTAGTGCTTATTTTTACTCAAATCCACAACATTTTTCCAACTATTGAATTTCTTTTCGTCTTAAAGGGAACAACTATTTGATATTCGATCACAATCCCTGTGGAAATGATATTCTTCTTATCATTGTATTACTTGTTCGATTGGTATACTTGCCAATACGCATCACTGAGCCTGTAAATGTACAGGTCAGCGTATAATATATTATTTATTTTAAATAAAATAAATAAATTTTTATGTTAATAATTTTAAATAATAAAATAATATTATTTTAATTATTGAATGACTATGGGGGAAGGATATACTTACCACCAAAAAAGTTTACCACCTTTATAAGCAACCTAATCTCTGTTGATTTCCGTCAATCTAATGGTTATAATTTATTGGATCACATTTATTAGTTATTTATTAATTTCCAATAAATTCAGTAAATTATAACCGTTAAATTTACGAAAATCAACGGAATTAGGTTGGTTGTAAAGGTGGTAAACTTTCTTGGTGGTAAGTATATCCTGCGCCATGACTATAATATTAGGGTTAAACAAACTTAAAACAAGACTTTTATTTTTTAAATATAAGTCAGACCATAATCATAATTTAGGCCTATACAGACTAACAGATCAGGTCAGACCTAAAATATTTTATAGTATATTTAAACTAAAGTCTAACCCGACCCAGTTTATTTATACCTCAATTGAGAAGTATGTAGCATGTTTGGTGTTCAAAAATATTATAGTCAACCAGCCCGGCACAGTTGGTAGATAGCTGAGTTAAGCATGATGACAGGGAGTTCGATCTCTGATCGTGTGTATAAAAAAGACTTTGTTGGGAGAGACCAAGGTAGTCAAAATCGGGATTTTACCTAAAATCAGAAAGGGAATAAAAAATCGTAAATCGTAAAATCGTAACACAAATCGTAGATTTTACCTGCACTCTAAAATTAAATTTTTTTTATACATATGCTTATGTATAAAAAAAATTAAGAAAAAATAGGCTACCTGCCACCATCCTTATACATTTGCATACAATTGTCACACTCTAAGGGTCTAAGCTAATAAATCATTCAAGTTATTATCATCGAAGACATTCTGTTCCACGTGATCTTCAACTACATCATTCAAAATTGTCTTCATCTAAACTTTTATCATGAGATAAAGTTCCTTAATTTTTCACAATCCATTCATCTACGGATGAAACATCAGCAATGTTATATTCAACAATTTGTCTAACTTGCTTAACATCATTCCAATAGTTAAAATCGGGATTTAAATCTAAAAATCGGGACTTAGGTGTCTAAATCGGGATTTTATATTGAAAATGATTTTAAGTGAAATCTAAATCGTTTTAGCAAAAATAAATCGTTAAAATCGGAATTTTCAGATTTAAATCCAGATTTTAACTACCATGGGAGAGACTATACCCTTGATCGCGTGATTTCTCCGTCTCAAGGGAATTAGTCTTTGACTTTTGGCTAGGGATACCTTTGAAATAATTTCCAAAAAAAAATTAAAAATATCATAGTCAATACGTTAACTCGTTGAAAAATCATGAAATTTAATTGCTTTTCTCTTGAGTTTGACAGAAAGCAAATGAGTTTTAATTGTTCATAGTTATGAGAATGAGCAAGGTCGGTAAGCTAGTAAGATTGCCGCGTCAGTTTTTTTTCTTTCTTTTGAAAAGTAAAATATCACAAAAAAGTATTATTTATTATTATTATTATTTTTATTTTTTAGTTTTATCAATTAAAGTCACCGTATTTGAGCGGAAAATAATCAAACCGTTCACAATTGAACCGACTACGCAACTTGGGTCTCCTCCTTTTACGACTACGGTTTTGTGTCAGCTTGTTAGTATGGGGTGGGGATTGCGAGTTTAACGTGAGATGACATGCATTTTGTTGATGCAATTGACGTATAAAAGGTATAATAATCAATACTCCATCGTGACCTTGAACGGGAGTTGCTAGTAACGTTTGGACTAACATGCTAAATTTGCTTACAATGCCAAATTGGAATTTTTTTTCACGTTAACAGTGAGGTTATCTCTGCTTTTACATCATTTATAAAAATCATCACCATCAACTCAAAACCAAAGTTAAAACGCATGCCTGGTTGTACCTTTGTCGCAAGCATGGCCGAAAGGAGTGTTTCTTCCATAGCTTTACCATTGCTAATCATTTACATCATTTCAATCTTCGTGGTTTCTATTACTTGTTTTCAAGAAGAGCGATCATTATACTTAGTCTTATTGGAAGGAGACGCGGTTGCTTTCCATGAAGGTTCATGGGACGAACATTCATCAAGAATTGACCCCAACAGGTTAGAAAGCTTATATATTGACCATGATACTTCAGTTTACACCCCTACCTCACCACGTGACAATCTCTCTCTCTAATTAAAGACAGTTCATCCTCATTTTTTATTTTTATTTTAAATTTGTTAGTAATAAATTTTTTTGTACACACTGAAGAGAGGAAATGGATAAAAGCAAGATTTTAACTCAAATTTTTATAATCAACTGTAAATGAATTGCTAATTGACATCTTCCAACAATATCTTGTCACATATATAAATTAGAAATGATATTGATTAGTATATAAAAACCTCACTAAGCTGCCCTGTGAAAAAAGCAATATATATCAAAGTGAGGGATTCTTGGTGTGGTGATAGATCCTTATAAGCTCCTTTTATAAGGCTTGTGGCACAATTGAACATTGGAATTAGGCAAATTCTCCTTTTCTCACCTTCTATTCGCAGCGAAAAATAAATAAAGTGCACTGCTTTTTTGCACCACTTTGAATGAAACTCTTCAGTCATATAAATAATCCTTCGGAACAAATATAGTAGGCTGATAAATGATAATTTCCTTATTATGCAAATTTGTTGGAAGTGACTAGTAGGCTTTTGTCGCCTTATATAAATATATATATATATATATATATATATATATATATATATATATTTATTGTTTATCATGTTATTAGGGATAAATTTAACTCCTGCATACACATAAAATTATATGGACCTATATTTTTCTTTTTCTCTCTTCTTCTTACATAGGTACATATGGGCCCCACAAGCTTTTATGTGCGTATACAAAATAAAATTTATCTCCTACAACATAAGAAACATTATCCTCTTATATATAGATATATATATATCGGAAAACACTTTCTCCTTGAACAGGAGAATTGTTTTCTCATGTTAGTGAGAGATCATTTTGTGTGCAATATTTTTTTTATTTTTTGTTTTTTGTTTATGGTGGGACCCATTTAAATTATGTATGTGTAGGAATTTTTGTAACCTATGAGAAATGCAAAGCCATATATATATAAGTAAAATTATTTCTGCACCAAGTAAAATCATTTCTGTAGCCGCTTTATGTACGTGTATAATTATAATTCTCAACATTTAATGCTTTCATCCTTTGTATGATTATGATTAGCCACACTTTCAAATATATATATATATATATATATATATATATATATATATAACACCAGCAGATGGAGAATTGTAAAGCCCTGTATCTATGCTTCGATCATCGATTCCCTTAATCAACAAACCTGATCATATATATATCTTTGCTTCTTTGTGTGTATGGCTAATTAGCGAAGCCTCTAAGGCGCATGCAAAGAACTTGTTGGCATCTCACGATCTACTTCTGCAAAGCGCTTTAGAGAATGGAAGCTACAATAAACTCCACAGTTTCAAACACCTCATTAATGGCTTTTCCGTCCACACAACCCATTCCCAGGTCCTCCCCTTTATCTCCATCAATTTTGTACGTTTGTGTGTGTATGTGTACATATAAAAACACACAAACGTGTCCGTTCGTTTTAATTTATGTGCATGTTCTGAAGTTCCGGGTCATGACCAAAAATTTCAGGCTAAAAGACTGAAAGGTGTCCCAGGGGTGAAGTTGGTAGAGAAAGACAGAGGAGCGAAAGTGATGACAACGTACACTCCTGAGTTTCTAAGTTTACCAACAGGAATATGGGCGCAGGAAGGAGGAGACAGAAACGCAGGTGATGGAGTTGTCATTGGTTTTGTCGATAGCGGTATCAATCCACTTCATCCAAGCTTTGCTTATGATCCCATGCAACCTTTCACATCAAATCTCTCTCATTTTGAGGGTGCCTGTGAGAGTGGTCCACTCTTCCCAGCTAGTTCTTGCAATGGAAAGATAGTTTCAGCGAGGTACTTCTCAGCTGGGGCTGAAGCTGTTGCTACCCTTAATGCTTCAGTGGATTTTCTTTCACCATTTGATGCAGAGGGACATGGCAGGTATTCATTGTTATCACCCGGACCCATTTTGGCATCAGAGTTGTTTCCCTCTTTATGCAGAGTGCGTAGTAGTAATTAAAATGTTCCTTGTTATATTTGATTGGTTTCAGTCACGTGGCATCTACTGCTGCTGGAAATGCTGGTGTTCCTGTTGTTGTGAACGGTTTTTTCCATGGTCTAGCAAGCGGAATGGCACCGCGTGCAAGGTGAGCTTTCTGCTGTTTCTTTGTGGGTAATTGATTGTTTTAGATATTTACTTATATGCATGAATCAGTTATGCAAGGAGAAATCGTTGTTTGTCATAACTTTTTTTTTTTTTTTAAATGCTTACTTTTCTCGTATAGATATTAGGTTGTTATATATAACCCGTGTGTGTATATATATATATATATGTGTGTGTGTGTGTGTGGATGGTCCTTGATTTAACCAATGCCACTGCAAGAATAAAAATGTGAAAAAAAATTCACCACAAAATGGTGGGTAAATATCAGATTTGTGTGGCTACGAATGTTGCTTTCTTTTGCAGGATTGCTGTTTATAAGGCTGTCTATCCATCCGTGGGAACTCTGGCAGATGTTATTGCAGCTATCGATCAGGTAAGTGCTACTTCCGTTCTCAATTTGATTAGATCCTTTAAGCAGCTCAAATTATTCAACAATACAAACCATCATTTCCCCTTTGAATAGTAAAAGGAAGAAGGAATAATATTTCAGGAATGGACAAAACTAGCTTGTGGGCTAGCTATCGACAACAGGACAAGTTATTTGGTGGAAAAAATTTTAAATTGCTAGTTAAATCACATTATATTAGTACTAGTCTACTAAAGTAGTGAAGGCTACTCAAAAAGCATATAAAAAATGGGCTTAAAAGGAAATCACGTAAGAAACCCAGAATGTTTCAAAGAGAGAAGGCACAATTCTGTATCTGCAACGCTTCAGGGAAAGCTAGAATAGCTACTAATACTCCCTAGCTTGTTTGATTTCTGCAGGCCGTCCAGGATGGGGTGGATATCTTAACACTCTCAGTTGGACCTGATGAACCGCCAAAAGACACATTAACCTTCTTCAGCCTGTTTGATATTTCACTATTATTTGCACGAAAAGCAGGAGTTTTTGTGGTGCAAGCTGCAGGGAATAAGGGTCCATCACCTTCAACTTTAGTGTCATTCAGTCCCTGGAGTGTGAGTGTTGCTGCCTGCAGCACAGACAGAAGGTACCCTGCTTCACTTCTTCTTGGAAATGGCCAAATACTAAATGGCGTGGGAATGTCAGGTAGTTCTGGTTCCCAAGACAATCCTTATATGCACCTATGTTTTCTTTATGTTTAGCACTCCAAATGTTCAGTGTTTGAAATTCTTACCTATAGGACCAAGTTTTGGAAATGGATCAGTTTTGCATAAGCTCGTATTAGCTAAGGATGCAGTAAAAACAAACGGAACATTCCCTAGGACTCCAGAGTACATAGACGAGTGCCAACATCCTGAAGTTTTGGACCCTCACATAGTGTTAGAAAGTGTCATTATCTGCACTTTCTCAGCGGGCTTCTATAATGGAACCTCAACACTCGCTGCCATTATTGACACATCAAAGGCTCTAGGATTCATGGGTTTTATTCTAGCTGCGAACCCAAGCTATGGTGATTATATTGCACAACCAATACCTTTTTCTGTTTCTGGTATTATGATCCCTAGTGTGGCTGATGCCAAGGTAAGGAAGAGAATAAGTCATTTTTTTTTAACTGAAACCGTGCAATCAGATAAGTAAAAGGTTGCTTTTTGAGTGTAGGTGATATCACAGTATTATGAAGAACAAACCAAGAGGGATGAGAGAGGAACTGCCACAGAATTTGGTGCTAGGGCAGGTGTCGGGGAAGGAAGATTTGCTTCTTTCACAGGGCGATCTCCCGTAGTCAGTAGATTTTCTTCAAGGGGTCCAGATATCATTGACATGAACAGAAACCTTGCTGATGTACTTAAACCTGATATTCTTGCTCCAGGGCATCAAATATGGGCAGCCTGGAGCCCCATGAGTGCCTTACAACCCATGCTAAAAGGTATATTATGTTCTTGTTGCAAACAGGACTGAATTTTCCCCAACTCTTAGCATCTTTTGTGAAAAAGGAATTTAATCCTAAGGACTAGTGATTACTGCGAAAAAAACTTTCATTAGTTGAACCAGTTAACACACACTCAAGTTACATTTAACTCTTTTACAACCAAAACATACAGGGCACAATTTTGCATTATTATCTGGTACCAGCATGGCCACACCTCATGTGGCTGGAATCGCAGCACTTATTAAGCAATATAATCCATTATGGACTCCATCCATGATAGCATCTGCAATCACCACAACTAGCACAAAGTATGATAATCTTGGAGAGCATATGATGGCTGAAGGCTTTGAGATCAACGGCTTGCATCCCGCCACTCCTTTTGAATATGGGGCAGGCATTGTGAATCCTAAGGGTGCAAATGATCCAGGCTTGGTACTATCATCAGGTATGTTATTTGTAAAGTAACCGAGCCACAAAATTGAATGCTTGATCAACTTAGTTCTTTTACTCAAAGCAACATAAATATTCATTGTTCCTAAAACAGGATATGCAAATTTCATCAGCTTCTTGTGCTCTTTGCCAAACATAGATGCGACTACAATAATTGAAGCCACTGGAGAACAGTGCAATAACGCGTTTGCCTATCCATCCGATCTAAACCTTCCTTCAGTAACAATATCTGCACTGAGAGGATCAGTTTGTGTGCGACGAACTGTCATGAATGTGGGGAACCACACAGAGACATTCTTAGGCTCTGTTCTACCTCCTAATGGAACTACAGTCAACCTGTATCCAACTTGGTTTACCATAAGTCCACAAGGAACACAACATCTGGAAATACAACTCAGTGTCATCCAACCAATGGAGAATTTCAGCTTTGGTGAAATTGTTTTGATAGGAAATTTGAACCACATTGTAAGAATAACATTGTCAGTTTTACCAGTTTCGGTATATTGATGATTAAATTTTCAATATACCTGGCTTGGGTTATTAAGCACAGTTGAAAAAGCTGGGTGCTAGCCAGACGAAAGAGACACCTTTATAACCGGGTGTTTTAGTTGTTTAAACTCTGATATGGTTGTACGATAATATTGCATTCCAAAATACCGCTATAGCATAACGCCTAAGTTGTTCCAAAGAATCTAAGTTCGAGTCTGCAAGAAGCAAATTAATTCCTATGCGATATTTCGTCTATAACAAAGTGCCAATCACACTACGAGACATTCGCGCCTGGTAGTATTATATTAGTCTTGACTATTTTAACAAAGCTATCCCTGTTTATAGTTTCTTATTTAAATTAAATTTTCTTTTAAGTTTCAAAATTCAGAATAAATATGATGGCTTGCTTTATATACGAGCTACGAATTCAAGGGATGCCAAGATTACCGGGGTCGTCCAGTCCAGGATGAATTCTCTTTCCAGAGTCGAATGTTTGCAACACATCATGCTCAGAAATTCACGAAGGTAGGAATTCCACAACTAGTCTCATAACTATAGAAAGTTTGAATGATGGAACCAGTTTTTCCATTAAAACTAAAAGAAAAAAACGTACAATAAATAGACACCAGAAATATTCCAGTGCAACAAATCCCTATAATCAGGGAAAGAGATAAAACTAGAAAACTGAATCCTATTTTAACTAAACAGGAAAAATATCAGAAACAAACTAATCCTAGGAATTTAAATAACAAATAACGAAACAAACTCCTAAGATTAAGGAGGAAAAATAAAACATTCTAGATGCTGAAAACTAGGGATTGCAACACTCCCCCTCAAGCTGGGTGGTAGATGTCCAGCATTCCCAGCTTGGAAATTAGTCCTTCAAATTTAATTCTTGATAAAGACTTGGTTAAGATATCAGCAATCTGGGACCCTGTGGAAATGTGACTTAGATCAATAATATTTGCATCAATTTTTTCCTTGATGAAATTTCTATCAAGTTCAACATGCTTGGTACGGTCATGATGGATTGGATTATTGACAATTCCAATGGTGGCCATGTTATCACAGAAAATCTTCATAGGATCCTTGTATTCGAGGTGTAGCTCCTTTAGGACTCTTAAAATCCACATTCCCTCACAAGTGCCTAAGGACAATGCCCTGTATTCGGCTTCAGCACTGCTTCTGGCTACCACAGACTGTTTTTTACTCCTCCAAGTGACCAAATTTCCCCACACATATGAGCAATAGCCTGTGGTTGATCTTCGATCGATAATGGATCCTGCCCAATCAGCGTCCGTGTAAATCACAATATCACGGCTGGAATTTTTCTTGAAGAACAATCCTTTACCAGGAGTCATCTTTAAGTATCGTAGGATTCTGTAGACGGCTTCCAAGTGCTCTTCATTTGGGCTGTTCATAAATTGACTGACCACACTCACAGGGAAACTAATATCAGGCCTAGTGTGGGCTAAATAAATGAGTTTTCCAACTAGTCTTTGATATCTCTCAGTGTCTACCGAAGCACATTCTTGTTTGAGTCCTATCTTGTAGTTCGCCTCCATTGGTGTATCAGAAGGTTTACATCCCAACATCCCTGTTTCATTCAGCAGATCAAGAGTATATTTTCTTTGAGAAACTGAAATTCCTTCCTTAGTTCTTGCCACTTCCATTCCAAGAAAATATCGTAATTTTCCAAGGTCCTTGACCTCAAATTTGTGAGCTAACGTCTCCTTTAATTGCTTTATCTCATCCTCCCAATTACCAGTAATCACAATATCATCAACATAGACAATTAATATTGTAATTTTCTGATGAGGTGCAGTTTTAACAAACATAGTATGATCAGTTTGACATTGGGAGTACCCTTGATTTTTGACAACTGCAGTAAACTTATCAAACCAAGCCCTTGGAGATTGCTTCAAACCATAAAGGGATTTTAATAATCTACATACCTTTCGAGATCCTTGACCATCTTCCACTCCTTGGGGAATTTCCATGTAAACCTCTTCTTCTAAGTCACCATTTAAGAATGCATTCTTCACATCCATTTGCCAAAGGGGCCAATCTAGGCAAGCAGCAATGGACAAAAGAATTTTAATTGAATTAAATTTTGCTACTGGAGCAAAGGTTTCCTGGTAATCAATGCCCTGTGTCTGAGTGAATCCTTTGGCCACAAGTCTTGCTTTATGGCGATTAATACTCCCATCTTCATTATATTTGATGGTAAAAATCCACTTACAGCCAACCACTGATTTTCCTTGTGGTAAGGTAACTATCTCCCAAGTGCCATTTTTTTGAGTGCATGCAATTCATCCTGGATAGCAGAACACCATTCAGTAGTCTTAGATGCCTCAAAGTAGGATGTAGGAATGGTTTCCTTGTCAATGTTCTTGACTAGATGCTGCATCCTGGAGGAAAGATTAGCATAGGATATAAAATTACAGATGGAATGACTTGTACATGTCCTTACCCCCTTACGAAGTGCAATTGGCATGTGCAGAGCATCATCAGAACTTGGCAGCAAGGATTCAGTTTGGTCAAGTGCAGGACTAATGGTTTCTTCAGTTGGACCAGGAGCCAAGGTAATCTGTTTGTCAACATGTTCAAGCATCTCAGAAGCTGTTCTGTATTTGGGCCGTCGCGTGTAGACTTGCAGGGGCTGCTGTTCAGGCGGTTTCTGGAGCGGGCCGGAAGAGGATAAGCCATTAGATGAAGTGTCATTTTCCTGAGATTCACCTAAGACCGGTGTAGGGGCTGTTGAAGCAGAGTTTTCTGGAGTATTAGTCACAAACAACCATTCCTTGGAATTAGGGATCTCCCCCTGAATGGCGGTTTGGGAAAAATAAGGCTGATGTTCAAAAAAGGTGACATCTTTAGTAATGTAGAATCGATGTGTGGCTGGACTGAAGCATTTATACCCCTTCTGAGTAGGGGAATAGCCAAGAAAGATGCCCTTAAGAGCCCGAGGATCCAATTTACCACCTTGAGAGTTATGAATGAACACGGTGCAACCAAAAATTTTTGGTGGGAGATTTGGGGTTAAGGTCAATGAAGGGAATGCAGTGAGGAGTGTTTGGTAAGGTGAGGAGAAGTGTAATACCCGAGATGGCATGCGGTTGATAAGGTAAGTGGCTGTAAGAATAGCTTCCCCCCAATAATTTTTGGATGTATTTGAGGCAAAGAGTAGGCTACGAGCAACTTCAAGTAAATGGCGATTTTTTCTCTCAGATACACCGTTTTGTTGTGGGGTATTGACACAAGAGCTCTGGTGGATGATGCCATGGTCTTTTAGGTAAGCTGAAAGGTCCAAGTTAAAATAATCACGTGCATTGTCAGATCTAAGGGTAAGGATTTGGGTTTGAAATTGGGCAAGGATCATTTTGTGAAAGACTTTAAAGGTGGATGTGACTTCAGATTTATTGGCTAATAGGTACACCCATGTCATTCGAGTATGATCATCAATAAATGTGACAAACCAACGAGCACCCGTAAGGCTTTTAACAGTTGCAGGTCCCCACACATCACTGTGGATAATGGCAAATGGTTTAGAAGGAACATGCATTTGTAAGGGATAATGAGACCGAGTTTGTTTTGCAAGTTGACATATATCACATGAAGGAAAATTCGAATTCTCATTAAATAAAGAAGGGTACATCTTTTTCATATATTGAAAGTTTGGATGCCCTAATCTAAAATGCCATAAAAGAGCCTTATTCAAATTGCTAGTTGCTGCAAATGTGCTGTCTTGAGTCTTCATAACCGCGGCTGTGTAAAGTTGATATAAACCATTAGAGACCCTAGCACTGCCAATCGTCCTCCCCGATGCCAAATCCTGAAAAATACAATCAACGTGGGTAAATTTGACTGTGCACTTTAAATCCTTGGTCAATTTGGTAATAGAAATTAAATTGCAGGTAAGAGATGGAACGTAGAGAACTCCAGTTAAAGATATGGTTGACGATAGGTGAACAACACCAATTCCGTGAACCTTGGCTAAGCCTCCATTTGCTGTTTTTACTGATTTTGCCTCGAAAATGGGAAAGTATTCAGAAAGAAGAGAGGAATTACCAGTCATATGATCTGTAGCCCCAGAATCTACCATCCAGGAATCACATTTATCAAGATCGGATTGGAGAGCTGTATGGAATGTACCTGATTGATGACTATCAGATGAGGGATTAGATTTGTCCTTATTGCAATCTTGCAGCATGCGTTGTATGGCTATCACTTGTTCCCTTGTAAATGTATGGCCTTCGGATTTTGCTTGCGGAACATCTTCTACAACTGCAGCAACATGATTAAAGTCTCTGTTTTGTCTTGGCTTCCAATCAGCTGGCTTGCCATGGATTTTCCAGCATGTATCCCGAATATGCCCAGTTCTGTTGCAATGGTCACACCAGAGCTTACCATTTCGCCTAGGTCTGGAGTCTGCATTGTTGGGTCTAGAGACAAAGGCTGCTGCTTCCAAAGGTGCATCAACTTTTGGGATGCTATTGGTCAAAACTTTGCGGCTTTCTTCCCACTTTAATTCAGAAAAAACTTCTCGCAAGGATGGCAGAGGGCGAGTGGCCATGATGCGGCTGCGAGCTCCATCATAGATTGGATTGAGTCCCAAAAGAAGGTTGTAGGTGCGGTCTTGTTCAACAATTTTCTTATACTGAAGAGTATCGGCTGGAGTAGTCCATTCATGTTGATCATAAAGATCCAATTGTTGCCAGAATTTTAGGAGTGAATTATAATAGCTGGTGACATCCTTGTCCTCCTGTTTGAGATCACGAAGAATCCCCTTGATGTGAAACAAGGCAGCTGTGTTATCTTCCTTAGAGAAGGCTTCCTTCACGCCATCCCAAATTTCCTTGGCTGTGGAGCACAACATGTATGTTTCAGCTATTTCAGGCACCATGGAATTCAGCAACCAAGACATCACAAGGTTATTTTCAATGGACCACTTCTTGTATTGTGGATGACTGGTTTCCAGAGGAGCAGCATCACCCGTACCGGTGAGATGATCTCCCTTGCCACGGCCTCCAATGAACATACGAACGCTGCGTGACCACAACATAATTGTCTCCATTGAATCGATGACCAGTGATGACTAATGCTGGACTATCGTTGGTAATGACAGCTGCTGAGTTGTTGTTGGTTTGGTTTGATGCTGAAACATTGAGTGGGGTTGTTGTTGGAGTGGTATTTGTACCGGTGGTATTGGAAGAAGTAGTTCGGTAGGCTCTCATGGTGCCAAAGAGTGGCACATTGGTAGCCATGGGTGGATCAGTCCCTTAAAAATCAAGCTCTGATACCATATAGAAAGTTTGAATGATGGAACCAGTTTTTCCATTAAAACTAAAAGAAAAAAACGTACAATAAATAGACACCAGAAATATTCCAGTGCAACAAATCCCTATAATCAGGGAAAGAGATAAAACTAGAAAACTGAATCCTATTTTAACTAAACAGGAAAAATATCAGAAACAAACTAATCCTAGGAATTTAAATAACAAATAACGAAACAAACTCCTAAGATTAAGGAGGAAAAATAAAACATTCTAGATGCTGAAAACTAGGGATTGCAACAATAACCACTCCTCTTGGCTAACCTTAGGATAACGGAGCTTCTTGATGCTATCTATTCTTGAATTTTCAGCTTTTAGCAACAAAATATTCTGAACATAACCAGCGTGATGGAACGTAAAAGATGATTGTCACTCACTGTCTGTCAGAGATTAATCCCACGCAAAGTCATGGTCAAGAGTGTAGTTATACTGGCATGGATTAAGCAGATTAGCCAGAGGAAAAAATTGAATGGGAATAATGAACAACGGTGTTACAAATTACAATTGGCAATTACAGTCAAGCTTAGATAATTAAATCAATCTGTCCTGCACATACATTCTTTACACCTAGGATACCTATAAATACTTCTCGCCTTAGGCCTTGTCTGTACATGTTTAGTTTGTCTAACTGCTTTCCTCACTCTCTGTTCAAACACACGCCATTCTATGGTAGAGTTCTTCACAAATATACTAGCAAGCCTGCGTTTATTTGGACGTATTGTTGCCATTTTTCCTCCACCATAATATATTCGATACCCAGACACCAAAGATGATAGCTGACTTCCTGAATCAGTCATGGCAAATGCATCCGAAGCAGTACAGCCTATGAAATCCAATGCGGCTAACTACAATAGAAACAGTTTCTTGTCATTCTTCAAAAGACTAACACTAGAACCATAAGTTCTTTCTCAATTACCATGCTGATAAAAAGAAAAAGAGATAGAGCAGGTATACACGCCCAAATAATGCCAAAAATTGAATAATAAGCACAAGGAGCAACGTACAGAACCAATAGAGCCCGCAAAACAAAAAAATTTCTAACAAGGAACTTAATTAAACTTGTAATATCTTCAACACAAATGAAACAAGAATGACGATAGCAACTAACCTGAGATGAATAATTAGCAAATGGTTCCAGTTCGGCTGATGAAAGCAAGTTCTCTTTGGTGACTAATTTAGGGTACAAGCTTGTCAAAGCAACCAACCGTGAGCTACCTCCATACAAATTAGAACCAGCTACAAATATATGTGTTTTGCGGTTAAAACCAAGAGCAGCAAGCATAAGGATGGCTTCTTCAGGTGTCAAAGGACATAGGCCTTCAGCCCTGAGTTCTGAAGGAGAAGGTAATCTGCATAGAAGATTCTAATTATTTTGAGTCAAAGTAGTTAAATAGTAAGGCTCTTCTCTGTATAAATTGAAATTGCTGTGCGTAAAAGAAGATAAGTATGTCAACCAAGTTTTTGCAATCATAGTATAATAAGTGGGGAAGAGTTTCAGATGGAAAGATTATGATGCATACTTTGTAGTCTTCTTCAGCAGTGCCAATGCAGGAAAATGGATTTCACGGTATGCTTCCAATTCTTTCCTCTCTTCTTCACCTCCCCCAAATTCACATAAAGAATGAGATACCATGTCAATTTCAAATCTGAGATGCAAAGCTAGGTACTTGGATGCTTTCTTCTCATGATTTCCACTTTCCTCCTTAATTGATTCTGCAAATGGACCGACAAGATAACGGTCCAATGGTCCTATAAGACCTGCATGTTCGCGCAACCTTTTAAGAAGCAAAGCACCAGTTTCTTGTATTCTGGGAACAAATTGCAGGGCATGAAAATTACATCTGCAACGAAGTCTCTAGATGAATTCCCCAATTAGGAAGAGCATAGTAGGGCTTGAGATCAAGAAAGATGGTAATAGTAGAGCATTGCAGGGCTTGAGATCATGAAAATTATACTGTAAGGTTTAAGCATCAAAGGACATTTACCTGCAGCTCAAACGGTATTGGATCAAATGCCAAGCGATTCCCAAATCCAACAAAGTGAACAACTTGATTTTTAAGTATAATAGGTAGGATGTGTTTCAAGTAAAACCTTGGCTTGGCCTCCTTCTCCATGTCAACATCTGTCACCTGGAAAAGCATTCCAACAATTAAATACAAATAGAAATGATATAGTTAAGTTTAATTAATTTACTGGAGGGGATAGGGAGAGACTTACAACACTACCGATTGCCTCCAAGTTCAAAGACTGCAGTTCATTAGGAAGTTCCCTCACTATCCGAATATCAGGAGTCAAGTAGTTAATAAAATACTCCTCCTGATAGATATCGCTGAATTGACTATGAAATTATACAATAAGCAATTATAAGTTATGTTGACAAAGTCAAAACCCTTGGACTGCAGATGTGGCATTGAAATGATACAAGACAAAAGCTAAAACAAGGAATTCTCTTAATGCATGCTATTATGACCCTCAAATACATGAAAAGTAAAATAAAATTAAAAGCAGTAACCTATTAAGTCATATGTTCAACCTATCACCATACTTGTGAATAGCCCCGTTTTAGCGCGCTATAGCGGAGTTGCGTTGCGGTGCAGTGGCCAGCCACCTCAGACCGCGCCGCGACGGTCAGGCGAAGTGTAGCGGATGTAGCAGCCGCTATTGTGCCGCTACAGTAGTTTCTGCAAAAGTGTTCTCGTCGTAGAAAGAAGAGATTTACAACTTAGATACAAGTGAAAGTGAAGATTAAGATTTGGATGTTCATGATTTCAATTATGATTAGTGTTGAGATATATAATCCCACATTGGTTGTATGTGCAACTAATGTGGAGTTTATAAGGTCTTGGGCACTCACACCCTTTGAGCTAGCTTTTGGGGTGGTGCATCCCAAGGTTCTTTACATGGTATCAGAGCCTCGCCGCCCCCCACTTTCTCTTGTGGCGTTTCTTAGCACAGGTAGGCTGGGCCTGTTGCATTGTCCACTCTTCAAGCCCAATGGGCTCTCGTGTGAGAGGGGGCGTTTGGGGTGGTGACCTCAAGGTTCTTTACATGGTATCAGAGCCTCGCCGCCCCCCACTTTCTCTTGTGGCGTTTCTTAGCACAGGTAGGCCGGGCCTGTTGCATTGTCCACTCTTCAAGCCCAATGGGCTCTCGTGTGAGGGGGCGTGTTGAGATATATAGTCCCACATTGGTTGTATGTGCAACTAATGTGGAGTTTATAAGGTCTTGGGCACTCACACCCTTTGAGCTAGCTTTTGGGGTGGTGCATCCCAAGGTTCTTTACAATTAGTTCCTTAAGTTCTTTGATTTTGACATTTAACTTAAGTGGCAGTTTGAATTTTGACTAATTTTGCTACTTTATTTTGTTGTGTTACATTATTTGAGACTTTTATTCCTTCAATTCACTTATGATTTGAATTTTAATGTTTGAAATCATTTATGTTTGAGTTTAAGATCCTTCAAATTTGTTTTTTATGTCACATTTTCATATTTTAAATTTTATATTTGTGGAGTACAATTTAGTATATCACTTAGGTACACTTTGCATAGTAGCGTTGTAGCACTACCCGCTATAGCGCTATAGCAATTTGGAGGGTCAGCCGCTACGCGCTGCTATCTGAGATTAATAAGTATGCCTATCACCCAAAATTATTCAAAAAGCTCGTAGCTATTTATTTGAATAACAGATTTAATTCATCTACTACAACCAGATCAAAATTCACAGGCATATTAAAACATCCCACTAATCATCAGAGTCTCAACTGTGCATTTGGTCCAGCAACTAAATATTTGGTTTTATCAAATAAAGTAGGAAAACGAAATAGAGAAAGACTACGTGAGTAGGAAGAAGAAAGAGAGATAGACAGAGAATTACCTCACATCTCTCCATACACTACTGTACATAAATTTGGGCACAACCAAAGTTGAATTGAGTAACCGGGCCACAACAACAGCATTACAAACCTGTTGCGAATCAAAATTAACATAAACGGCATGCTAGTCACTTAAAATAAAGCTTAAGATTTTCTCCATTAAAATCAACCGAAACCCAATTAATTCAGAAGCAGTGACATTAAAACACACAGTCTAACAAAGAATACTCACAGCTACTCGTTGCTGATTGATTCCCCCATTTGCAGTAACCAAAATGTATCCATTATTTCCTTCTATTGGAGTACAGAAGAAGAGAGCAGACTATGAGTACCATCTTAGGGACCAAAGAACATTTTTTGCAGTTACACATAGACATATCATAAACAATTGTTAAATTTCAGGCACACGTACCATTAGGTGCCCAATTACGCTGATCAGCACAAGGTCTCCAAACAGAAGCAGGGGCGAATGGTTCCAGCCACAAATCTTTTGGTTCACGTTTATTCTGTCCCATACAACACACTAAGTCAGAGTCAATAAGAACTTGCTCTGAAGAGAAATAAGTGGAAATCAATCCATAACCTAATGGCTTATAACTACTAGTACTAACTAACCACAGATCCCTATACTATACCTCTGCTAAAGCATGTGCAGTCAATGCCAACATCCTTACATAATTTCCCTTCTGTGATTTTTTCCTATTTCCAGACTTGTTCCATTTCCCCTGCAAAATCAAATATCAGAAAAAGAACCAAAAGGAAGAAACTCAACAAACTCACTCAGAGGCCAAGAAATATTAGACATATCATATCACATCAGTGTTTCAAATATTCTGAAATTCTATATATTGAAAACGGCGCATACACGCATCGCATGTAATCAAAATCATTTAACTGTTCATCACCGTTGGTAATAATAAAAGAAGCTTAACTACCTGAAGGGAAACCGAAACAGACGAAGGAGGCGTTGGCTTCGGAATAGGATGGGGTCCATCGTGTTGATGTTGTAGCCGTACAAGCATAATCCAATTCACAACAAAAAATGAAGCTAGCAACGCAATAAGCGCCAGAAGCACTTTGGTTCGTTTCCTTCGATACCACGACGAAAACGACAAGGACGAAGAAGAATGGGATCTACGGGAACTGGAGATGCGTCTCGGCGAATGACTCGAAATTGGCGAGTTGGACCGGCACCGATCTGGCACCACGTCGAAATCGGAAACGGATACCATGATTCGGGTTCGGGTCAGATCCGTAAGAAGAGGAGTTGAAATCTGTTGTTAAATAAATTAATTTTGTTTAGTTAGCAATAGCAATTAGCATTAGGAACGGCAACGGCGGCGTCGTTGGGTGAAGTAAAGAAATAAGGAATCTTCGAATTGATGAATTTAACGCAAACTTGAATGCCTTGTGACTTGTCCGAGTTCCCATTCTAGCAGTTTAGTTAGGTCGGGAATTATATTTATAAATGTAAATCTTCATTTATTATAACTATTTTGTTAATTATACTTCATTAAACGAATGGTCAATTCATTTGAAATATTAAGTTTATCCTAGATTGACATCAACCCGTAAAATAAACAAAACTAGAGTTGACATTGCTCCTTCGGGGATACCCGTTAAAAGTTGATGACACTTCTTCATTCATCTTAAATGCTTTTATTTTGATTTTGTATGAATTATAAATCAAGAACTGAATTCGATATCAGATTCTACTTCCCAGTTTGTAATAAACAGGTGACTGAATTTGAACATACTGTCACCGACCCACACAATTTATATGTTGTTTGTTTAGTCTTGGTTGGCTATATAACAGGAGTTAATAAGAGTTTATGGAAATCTAGCTATACACTCGTAGATTTTGATCTATTCCTACCACACGCGGATATAAGGCCCAACTCGTAAATGGTCCAACAGTCAATGTAAGAAAAATGTACTTGATATGCGTTCACATGTTCTTTTTACGAAAAACATGTCTGGAACTGGAAGAATACAGATAAATAGGAAGCTATTGAGCTAAACTCATTCATGAACGTAACGTGTCCCCGCTTTTCCTCTCACGTGACTAAGCTAACTTTTCCAAATAGTGCTGGCATCTCGATATTGCCGTTTTACCAAAAACGTTTGGCAGAAATCAGATCAGGTAGCACCGATTGATCTCGCGTTAGTCGCGCAAGTTAACAAAGAGATATTAACTAACGGAAATACTTACCGGAATGGTATTGTTTATTTCTGTAATTATTTTTTTAATAATATATTTTTTAAAGTATATAATTAAAAAATAATAATTTTAATATTACAATTATATATTTTTTGAAAATGAGTTGCATGATGTCCTCAGGACATCCGATCCACCCATTAACTAAAATGCATATTCAAGCACTTTCCCCAGCCCCAAAAGAATTATATTTTTCACTTTTAGTACCTGGCTTAGTTTTTCTTAATTTTTCTTCACCTTTTAAAAAAAATTAAATCAAACACTTAAATAAAAGTTCTTAAAAATGTATTTTTTAATAAATAAAAAATATAAAAATAACATTTTATGAAAAGCTTTTAAGAAAAGTTTCTAACTTTTAACTTCTGTCTTGAAATCAAAAAAAGTCCCACTCACGTTGCCGTCAGCCCGTCACTTCTACAACCCTGAAAAAACTCAATTGCATTTCACTCATCTCATCTCTTCAACCATCGCTTCTGGCCTCCTCAGATTTTGATAGTAATCAGATTACTATCAAAATTTAGACACCGTCGGAGAGTCAGCCATTTTCACACACCGTCGATCATCGCATTCCAGTCACCACCACCAAAAGCCCTCACTTTTCAAATTCGGCTTCATCATCATCATCGACGGATGAGGATGCCCCATGCTATGAGGACCCAAGTCCTGGAGCCAAATACCATAATGAACAAGCTCGCATGCTTCAGGCCTCGCTCCCTCACATCGTTCATACACTGATTTCTCTTCCTCTTATTTTCAAATTTTTTCATTACTTTTATTTATGTCAATATTTCAATTGCCCAAAATTATAATCCAAATAGTTGAGCTTTTTTTTTGTTCTTATTGCAAATCTAACTGGGTGTATTGGATTGGGATTTTAATGGATTATTTTCGGACAAAAAAATCCGTTGGTATTCGATTAGGATTTTAATGGATTGAAAAAAAGTCACGTGGTATCCGATTAGGATTTTAATGAATTATTTTAAAATTCGTCCAAATCCGTTGGTATTCAATTAGGATTTTAAACAATGGAATCACAATCTCGAGGTATTCAAAAATTCGAAGATTTTAATGGATTTTCTATTGGTGTGAATTTCGTGAGACTTTTTAGTGAAAAATATAAATAGATGTCTTTCTCACAGTCTCACCCTAACACCTAGGATTTCTTCAGATTCTTCTATTGCAGTGTTTTCTTCTTCCTTTGACAGGTGACTGCTCGAAATTGGGTTCCGCCAAGGGAGCTTCATCAAAAATAAAAATAAAAAGCTTATTTTTGAGCGATTTTCATCACAAAACAACACAGAAACAACAAATCAAGGAGATTTTAATATAATCTATCTCAAAAATAACATATTTTTGAGCCATTTTTGAGAAATTTGGGAAGTTTAAAAAGTGATTTTTCAAGCTATGGGTCGAGGTTTTTTGCGGAACAAAAACGTGTGATTTTTGTATTAAAAACAACATAAAATGGTTAAAAAATAACAAGGGAACTAAAACCCTCAAACTAATTTTTCGTTTTATATCAATGAAACAATATCAATTTAAAGAAAGATTGAAACTTTCATAATATGAACCCTATATTTCGTAACAATACATTCAAGAACGAAATTTCTTCACTATAGGAAACATTTTCAAACAATTTTTGTGTCAATACATAACTAAATACTTGTTTCTTATCGATTGAAAAAACTTTGAGAAAATTTCGAAACTTTCATGTAATTAAACCCAAAATTTCAGATTCAAAATTTTCTTAGAATATTCAATGAAAATATGCATATGATATATGGTTAGAAAACTATCATCACGTAAAACAAAAACCCCAAGGTTTTCAAGATCAATTGCAAAAAATTCCAAATGAAATTTTATCATGAACTTTAGGTTCTATATGCAAATTTAGAATTATTTTTATAATTAATAAAAATTTGGGTCTTATAATCATATATGCATAACTTTGATAACAAATGAAGAAGATAATTTTCAACCCATTAGATATGTGAAAAGCCGTTGTTTAGTAATTTTGAATGTTTGTTAAAAATTATATTTTGTTTTACTGATTGAGAAAAATATATTAGGATTTACTTTTTTTTATTAATTTCATTGCATTTCTTTGTTATTTTTTTATGGAGAATATTATACTTACAATCTATTTTTGTTTACAACCTTTTACAACCATATCTTAACCGTTGATTTCCGTCAATCAATGGTTATTATTTTCACAAATCAAACTCATTAATTAATATTTAATTTCAAAGTTAACCGTTGATATATGGTTACTATTTTCGCAAATCAAACTCAAACTCATTGAGAAAATTATATTAGATTTTATTGATATGTGGAGAGTTGTTGCTTAGTAATTTTTGAGATAATTTTCAACTCGTTGTTAAGTTTACTTTTTTTTATTAATATCATTGCATTTCTTTGTTATTTGTTTTTATTGACTCTTGTAATTTTGAATATTCGTTAAAAATTCATATAGTTTTTTAAAATCTTATAAATCCATATTGTCCTTTCAAATCTTATGAATTCTATTAAAATCCTTTAAAATCCAATCGTATGAAATCTTGATTGTAAAAAAAGTCTTTTAAAAAAGTCTATAAAGTCTCTCCAATTCTAAAATGTCTTTTAAAATCTGTAGGATTTTTTATCTCAAAAAAGTTTTTTAAAATCCTAATCCAATACACACCCTTAAATTCTATGGTTTGTTTGCTTGGGACTGGGTGTATTGTAATAATGGATGAGTGTGAAATTGTGGTTTTTCAAATGAAGTTGGGATGGACAGAAGTAGCGCTAATTGCAGGAGCAAGGGATGTTGGTCTGTCTTTACCATTATCCATTTTTTGATCCAATCAGCAAGCAATTTTTTGAGGCAACCTGAGTGTCAGTTTTTTGAGCCAAACTGAGAGTCATTTTTTTGAGCCAACTCGCGAGTTTTTTTTTTTTTTGAGCCAACTTATGAGCCAACACTACCCGACTCAGGTCTAGTTGGGATGGGTTTTTTGGCTCTCTCTTTTTTTCGGGCCAACCCTAACTCAGCTTATTTTTTTGGGTTGAATGCGGGTTGGCTCGTTCGTTGACAAATGTTCTAAAAATCATTAAACAAAAACAAGTCACCTAACTTTGTTTTATGTTACCTCGTCCATTAAAAAATGTGTAACATTGCACCTTTTCATTCATAAAGCCATTATATAACATAATGAAAATAAAAATAGAAATATTCATAATAGAATTTAAAATAAAATTTTGACTTGGTATAATTCCCACTATTCACTCACCTAAGTATTAATAAGTCAAGACTATCATTTAATGTGAAGATCTTGAACAAATGCTTACTTGTTAAGCACTTACTTTCCAATCTTAGTGTGTAGGGGTGAAAGTGGGCTGGACTAGGCCAAGCTTTGCCCCAAGAAGCCCAAGCCTACGCCAAAAAATTTCAATTTGGCCTGGCCCAAGCCTAGTACGAGTCTAACTGTTAGCCTTGGTTGACCCGTTTATAAAAAAAACAAATGGCGTGGCCTAACCCATTAGCCTGTTAATTTTCAACTTTCAAGCGGAATCATTAATCAACTTTACAAAATACTCAAATTTTGTTGCTAATCCAAAAATCATAATTTCAACGTCCAAACAGAATCATGAATCACAACAAAACTCATACAATCTGCATTTAAGTCACTTTCAAAAGCAAAATTCTCAAACTAAATAACATATATTCCATCAGATCCAACAAACAAATTCATACTACGTAAATTAAAATAACTACTTGAATCCAACAAACACATCATGATGTTTGTAGTAAGTATAACCTCTCCCAAAAACCTTTTAATATATTCATATACACAATCTAACATGCTAAGATGTTGGTTCCTCCTACATAAAAAATAAAGTCAAATTTTTATTAAAATATAATCGAATATAATTAAGTTTTAAATAATTGCAATTGATTAATTTAAGGCTTATAGGCCAGACCTTGGGAAAGTGGGCCTATGGCATTTTTATTAAACAAGCTTTTTCAAAGCCCAAGTTCGACTTATTTTACGAAATATACTAGGTCAGGTCTGACCTGACGTAGGCCGAGCCGTAGGCCCCTATAAGCCGGCCCGGCCCAGTTTCACCCCTATTAGTGTGTTATTTTCTCTATCTTTATATTTCTCTTCACTCTCACTACTAGAAGAGTTATA